ATTTCATTCACCAGTTCTACGAATAATGTTTTTTTAATATTGAGAGTGCGAATGCACACATTACGTGTTGTTAGGTAAGGTAACCCATACTTTTTCTCCAACCTAGCAACATAACTGATATGATTGTTAACGCTTAGCAGACATATAACTCTTTATACCTTAGGGCCTTGTTAGATGAGTTGAGTTTATAATTACTGTTTCCAATTTATTACTTAAAAAACGAAGAAATAAAAACAATTAACCGATCAAAGCATTTGCAGCATTTTTACTGTACCAGTCACTAGTTTCAACTACGGTTCTGCGCTTAACGATGCCTTCTCTCCACTCCGCCGAAAAATATTCCAGTCACAGCGTGCACATGATATTCAATTACATTGACTCTGAATTTCAGTTTGAGATTCCTGTTTTCTTAGCTCAGGCTGTGTGAATGAGAGTTGAGTTTCACCAATGCAAGTTTTGATGACTGATTCTGATGATCAGATCAGATGGATGATAAACTGTTTTAAATGATTTTACCAGTTCGAGAATAAATGATTTGTATGATCAGCTATCGCGTGACTGGATGATGTGAGAAGTGGTAGTATGATTTATTCATGTAATTGTATTATCCTTTTATCAACAATTCCTGCTATCGACTTATTTCTAACCACCCCTTGCCATTATGGCAGGAGGTACTGTAGTTACGTCCTTAAAAAGCGGAATCTAGACATCCTTAGACAATCGTCTTCAAGATTACATAAGAGAGTTAACACGTTATGAATAACAGGAATATCTACACGGAGTGCAAGTACTCGTGGTAGATTTGTTATAAGTCTCTCCTTTATTACAGGGGTTCCCCATCAACGAGAGAAGGTCGGCTCTGTTGATAGTTGACAGATATATAGAGACATATCGTGGTTGTGTTGATAACTCACCGAGCTATGTACTACAATGCTCAGAGTTCAAATCCATGCCACATAACACTGTTGCCATTTGGGAAGACACCAATCTTCATTTGCGTTTCTCCAACGCAGTGAAAAGTTGAATCCAGAAAACCTTAGACCATCGTCTTCAAGATTACATAAGCCATGTTCAGACGGGGTTTTGCTAGTCGGCGTAAGTTAATCCCTGCAGCAGACCAAACCGCGATTCACCTCTTAGACTTAGGGCTAGTCACATGTGGGGTGTGTGTCGTAGTCGAGTGGTTTAAGCTCTTAACTGGAGATTCAAAGGTTGTGATTTCAAGCCCTGCTTCAACATTATAGTGTCCTTTAGTAAGACATTAATATACTTTTGCCTCTCTTTACCCGGATGTTAAATTGGTTCTGGTAGAAAGGAATTCAGGAAATCATGTATAAAGCACCTTTAATCGGTAGTCAGGCTCCATCAGCCGGGATAATATAATTCATAATTTGTAGTGATATTTAATAACACAAATTCAAGTTGTAAGAGTACTTTATGAGTGAAACTATTGAAATGTACGGCATTTCCTATACTTGTCTAGTTAATCCACACATTTGTCTATTTATCTTTCTCCGCTATGTAACGGCAAACCGGTGTTTTGTTTTTATTTTATCATCGGGTAATCTCTCTACTTCTCCTTTCATCTCTCTATACTTCATCTAAAATAATGAAGTTGGTAGTTGAAGAAAGTCTCCCAAAAGATGTTTATCTAAACATTTTAGGCAATTTTTAGTCCTTTAATTGACACCGAATAGGCTGATGCTTTTGAAATATACATTTTAGAGACTTTGCGACAGTCCATTTTTTAAGGATAGCTGTATATCTCAGATTTACATACCCATTCAATCTCTCGACTTGATCCCTTTCTTTACATGTATTCACACACACACACGCGTGCAAACGCAAAAACACACACACACACACACACCCACCATATCTTGTCTTCCCCTCTCTCAGATTGTCTGATCAAAAACAAAAAGTTTTTTAGTGTTTACTTTACCCCTTGATCTCTCTCTCTCTCTCTCTCTCTCCTTCTCATTGATATTTTGCTACTTGTTTTATTGCTTTGATTATCAAGAATCGATCTCGCAGCCTACTTCTTCAATGCTAAGCTGTACAAGTATTCCCTATACCAGTACAAGAGAGCTTTCGAGGTCTTCAAGGTTTATCTCGGTCCCCTTTATCCGAAATCACAGGAGGCTCGGCAAGGCCAAAAAGAGCTGAGACCATGTATTTCGGTGCAATGGTCATCCTTCCCGGCTGACGTCAGAGACGTTATTGCATTTCAATTTGCCCTGCGATGTTTTATAAAGTAATGCCGGAGATGTTACATTTATTTATTTATAATTCGTATGTTTTCGAATGAAATAAAATAAATATTGGAGACAATAAAACAAGTCAATACTCTGATAAGAAGGGATTAGAATTACTTGCACAACATGTCCTAGGATTGTGTACTTGTTTATTTTGGTTTCCTTCCCATAGCCATTTCTTCTCTTGGTATTATCTGAAATACCTCAGAGTTTTTATTTAAAATTCATCTTCCCATTAACACCCAATACGTTATCATCAATGATTTAAATGAGAATGACATAATGAGATGTACAGAGGAGTAGCAACAAAGACGAAACTTTAAACGAGAGAATGTTTATATCAGATCAAAACAATTTAATATGAAGAAGATGTGCTTCTTACACTATGTTATAATTATTGAACACGAATGGGGCTGCATGAAAATCGATATTTGATAATAATGAATGATTATTTCATCTTTAATGTGTATCTGTATGAAATTGGTGACTAGTAGGTTGACTGGTACTTTATATGCAAAAATGCAAGAACTGTGTTCGTAAGATATCTATCTCTATATTTCTTTACATATACCCTCTTCTCTGAAATCCGTTTTCTACAATACATCAATGATGGTAATAATAATTCTAGTAACAATATGAGCAATGATAATGTTTTTGAAACACGTCAGTTCAATATTAATATGTGCAAGGCGCAAAGGGAAAATAAATTGTTGTATTTTTCTCTTTTTCCGCCTCTTTACTAAATGCATGAATTAAATTCACTGCATCAATCTTGCAGCCTACTTCTTCAATGCTAAGCTGTACAAGTATTCCCTCTACCAGTAAAACAGAGATTTCGAGAACTTCAAAGTTTATCACGGTACCCTTCATCTAGAATCACAGGGGGCTCGACAAGGCCAAAAAGAGCTGTGACCATTCAGTGTAATACAACAAACATCTTTCCATGCTAACGTCAGATAAATTGCTGCATTTCAATGGGACGTTTTATAAAGTTTTGGAGGAGACGTTATATTTTTTCATTAAATGCTTGTTTTGTTTTACTTATGATGTTTTTCGAATGAATTTAAATTAATATTGGACAAACTTAAACAAGACACTATTATGGAAAAAAGGTATTATAATTACTTGCACAACAAGTCCTAGTATTGGGTGCTTGTCTCTATTGGTTTTCTTCCCCTAGTCATTTTTCTCTTGGCATTTTTTGAAATACCTCTTCTTTTAAATTTCACCCTCCCACCATAGCCCAATACACACACACAACCTTCACACTTCACTGAGTTACACTTCCATAAATGGTTGAAATAAGAATGAGATGTTGTTGAAAATTCCAGAATGGTAAGAACAAAGACAAAGATATAAATGAGATATTATTTAAATGAGATAAAAACAATTTCATATGATTAAAATGTGCATCTTACATTCTGATATAAGTATTGAAAACGAATAGTGCTACATGGACATCGAGACTTAATAATAATTAACGATTATTTCATCATCAATGTATGTCTGTTTAAAATTGATGACTAGTAGATTGACTGTTACTTTATACGCAGGAATGCAAGAATTGTGATCGTAAAATATCTATCTCTAAAATTCCCTACATATAGGTTCTTCTTTGAAGTACGTTTTCTACAATTGATTTTTTATTTGATTTTATTTCTGCATTTTTTCCATATAAAATATAACTGAATAACAAAGAACCTATAAATGTAAGGTAATAATACAACATAAACAAACAATAATTTCTTCATGTCAAACATTTTTTTTTTACATAATATATATATACATATAATAACGACACTTAATATTTCCATAACATATAATCATGAATTTAAAGTATTATCCAAACTATTCTGTTGGAAAAGTGCAGGAGACCGCAATCATATTAAGCAAAGCTCGACAAGGATGGCGGCCTTAAAAAACACACACCAAAAAAATCTTAAGGTAAACCTTAAAATGTAAAAGTGTTTAAACGATCTTTGTGTATGAGTTGGTGAGTGTGTTGTGCAAGTGTATGTATATATAGTGTATATATATATATATATATATATTGTGTGCGTGTGTGTGCGTGTGTGTGCGTGTGTGTACATGTGCACGCGAGCGTGCGTGTTTGTATGTGTTTGTAACCAATAGTGGAAGTGCACGTAGCTCTGTGTGGTATAGTGGAGCCTTTAATACCTTCAATACATTTATGATGGTAATAATAATAATACTAATAACAATATGAGCAATGGTAAAGTTTGTTAAACACGTCAGTTCAATATTCATAACATATGTACTTACAAGGTATAAAGGAAAAACTGGAATATTTGTAGTTTTCTCTACTTCTGCTTCTTTCCTTAGAACATGGATATAATTCACTGCATCTTTTTTGTTGCTGAAATTCTTATAGAAAATAATTAAATAATGCCAGACAACATTTAGCAATTAATCTAATTGAAGTTTCCTTATTTCTAACAGACGTAAAAAACATTACAGCACTTATTCCTCGAATAACCGTCGAAAATGTAGAATTATTATCTGAATATTTTTGAACACTTATTACAGCAACACGGCATAACTCCATTCATGTTAAACCGATACTAAAATGAGTAACACTGTTTTGAGGGTGTTGTCTTTATCAAATGAAAAAAAAAGCTGAGAACCTATTTTTGATAAGATAAAAAACATAAAGTGAGGTGCTTTAAGGTGTGTTTTACGAATCCCCGCGGTAACCGGCACCTTCTTGTCACAGGCGTTTGTTATTTACGTCGAGCGAAGCTTCATCTCCGTCGTCTTGAGGGAGTAGTAAGGACCGCGCCATTTACCCCAGAACACACTCATGGCGTTCTCTCTCATCGTGGTTGGACCTTTCAGATATAGGCCGTTGAGGTAAGCACTAAGGCAGTCATTGTACCACCAGCCTCCTTTGTAATAACCGGCGCAGTGTCCCGCTAAACCATCATGATCGCGGTCCCGTGTACTGAACGGATAACCTTCATGAGACGACATACTGTCACCTGCATAGAAATGAGAAATTTAATTATGGCATACACATGATATAAATCAGTTCAAAATAGATACGATCTCTCCTTACTCAACTTGAGGCTGCATGCGTGTTTGTATTGTACGTTAGTTCGTTCGTCCGTCCATCGGTGAATGATGTGTCTTCTGTATTTCGATGTAACAGACAGATACGTTTGGGAGCATTCGTTATTATTCATGGATACTTTTTTCAACCCCTCACTTCTCGACTTGATATCCTTTTATGAGTTAAAGAAAACAAAAACAATCAACAACAAATCCCCTCCTCCCCCCCCCCAAAAAAAAACAGACCGCTGTTGTTTACCTCGTCCCATGTGAGAGAGCGTTTGATGTTAAAAACAGTTTTGCCGTAATACCGTATATTAACTGTATAAATGAATTACGGTATTACCCCAAGGCACTATCAACGTATAACCGTTTTATCGTTTAACCGTAAAAACGTATGATTTTATTACCATAGGGCCTTTAACCACATTACAATGAACCATATTAACAAATTACAGGATTACAGAAATGACCTTTTTACTGTATTACCGTATTAGCTACCTTATTAACATATTACCGTATAACGTATCATGTAGTACCATATTACCGAACCTTTGGGTTATTCCACGATTCCACATTGGTCCAATACGACATACCCCCATGTATTTCATGTCGAAAAAAGAAAAATAAACACCTTAATTGATTTGAACAGTTATTAATATTAGTGATACCAAGAGGAAACATATTGTTGATGAATTAAGGTGAATAATATCATGTACAGGACACATTGCAGGGTATCCCCCTATTACATACCTGCGTCTCCGGAGTAGTTGCCAAGGGCCAGGATGTACTTTGCGACCTCGTCCGCAATACTGAAATTGCTGTAGGTGGCATAGCGCGTTTGTCCATCGAAGTCTTCGAGGTCGATCCGTAGCTCGTAGGTCTTCTGACGGGAAAGACGGTGGATGTTGTCGTTACCGAGCCAGTGCTCGGAGGAAACGTTTCCAAAACCGTTTTTGTACTCGGACCAGTAAAGAGAGAAGTCAACGGATCCATCTTGTCTACGCTGGAATACCTACAGAGACAGTGGGTGAGAGGGAAAGGGGGAGAAGGAAAGACAGATATATATATATATATATAGAGAGAGAGAGAGAGAGAGAGAGAAGAGAGAGAGAGAAAGAGAGAGACAAAGAGAGAGGGAGAGACAAAGAGAGAGAGAGAGAGAGAGAGTGTGTGTGTGTGTTTGTGTATTAATTATTATTTCAGAACATTAATAACACTTGCGATGATTGAAGATGAGATGTGTATTATCAAAGTGTATGTAATTACTTTTGAACAGTGTATCAACACGAAGAAGAGTGGTTGTTATCACATTTCGCTCCAATCATAAGGATACGCAGTTTAGATTGTGGACCAAGAAGAATGCGATGGCAAAGACTTTAAACAAATCAACCAAATCAATATCAATAACCAATATCGATTCTTTTTATCATGAGGGCCCAGCAATCAGCAGGTACCTGTTGACACCAGGGCGGAGAGTGGGAAAATGTTGATGGATGAAATAGGATACAGGGTATATATAGCCCTAAAGTTGATTCTTAACACGATCCATTTTCGAACAATCATCTTAAAGGAAATTGTAATACCCTATTGTATGTCCCATAGATTTTTTTTGTTATTGTAATTTTTAAAAATATTTAAATGGATGACACACAAGGCAAGGTAAATTATTCGAAGATACTTGCTATAGTGTTTCTTGAAAATTTTTGCGATCATTTTTAAAGTGGACGGGGTTGATAAAGTTGAAATTTGAGCTATCATCATTTCTCACCGTCCAGCGACCTCCGTCCGTTTCCATATCACAGTAAACAAAGAGAGGATCATCACCATCTCCATCGGGATAGATGGGATACACTCCACTGAGATGGGATAGTCCACCAGTCTGAATCTCAGCGCAGTCACGTGGGAGTGTAGGAACTGATAGGAAACACAAAGGTGGTGTAGTTGAGAGAATTGAATTTCAGAGGACCGGCCTGTCATAGAAAAAAGGGTCACGGATTGGTTCCTTGCTCGGTATTTGGTGTTATGCTAAAACAATACAGTGTAAAGCTGTACAAAACTTATTAAAGAAAATGACAAGTAAGAGGAGGAATGATCATACCAAGAGGCGCACTAGGAGGAATTAAAAAAACAACTTTACATTTCATTAAGTCGATTTTGATCCTGAATGATTGAATGAAACATCTCATTGAGAGAAATAACACGTTTAGAATATAATGGCCTGATAATCTCAATTTTATTATGAACAATAATTGCTGCTAAATAGTGCAACAAAAGATGAGGACTAAAGAGTGTGAGTCAGTAATTCCAAAGGACCCTTGTACTGTTCATGCGTCACAAGAATGACGCTCCGTTTGCAAGAGGCATATAGCGGTTATAACACCGTCATTCACCTGACGTAGGACTGCGTTAGCGACCTGTGTCGTCTTTGACGCGTCGTATGAATGTGACACCGTATAGACAATACAAATTATATATTAATAGCCATCATAGAATTGATTTTTTAAAACACAGTCCTACATCAGCAAGATGACACCTTGCGTGCAACGGGAATGATATGAAATGCTCACCAGCCGTGGCGGTGACTTGCGTCATTTCGGGCGGTATGATCGTAGACATGTCAGTAAAGTTAGTCATAGTTGATGGTGATTCTGCCGTGACACAGGATTCATACAAAGCATTGGAAAATAATGAAGATGATAATGGTGATAATGATGATCACAATAATAATACTACTACAAATCGTCGCTGTTTTCACGAAGTGACGGTATAGTGAAAAAAATTGCATTCACTTTGCGTTACGATTTTCCTCACTACCGTCACTTCGTGAAAACAAGGACGAAATAATCATGATACCCACAATAACAATTATGATGATAATAAGGATAATAACAACAATAATAATAACTGTCATGATGATGATGATGATACAAATCATCATCATAATACGAAGAAGAAGGAGAACAAGAAGAAGAACAAGAACAAGAACGAGAAGGATGAGAAAAATGATAACAACAAAAATATGGCTTTTGATAAAGGATATTAATGGGGTCGAGGGGTCACCTATCGTATTAGGTCCATGAAATGTGAATTAAAAAGGCCGCTTGCTGGCAATGATTAATCTGAAATGCACGAAGTGTGATTTCTCCACGACTGTATAAAATATATGGGATATTCGGTTTCATTTGAACCATGATGTAATTCTGAAATCATCTACAGGCCTAACAAATAACCCCACTAGGGGTCACATGAGATTTACAGTTCTAATATAAACATTGTTCCGCCCCTTTGCGTTTCAGCCGTCAGAATTGTGGAAAGATGTATCAAAAGAACAACTTTTACCAAACCAATATCGAAACTTGTATAATGCTGGAACATTTCTGGGGCGGTATACCCCCTTCCCCCGACAAATTATTCAAGTACTAATCCCCATGATCTCAAAACCTCCTCCCGAATGCAAAGGATTGAGGCCCACTTGGAATGTTTTGATTCCCTTATCGCTTTAACAATATTATAATAATAATAATATAATAATAACGTTTTATTTACCCAGGGTAGCCACTTCAGTTATAAAAATGCTCTCCCAGCGGGCCCTGCATAACATAACATGTTACTATTACCCTTCTCCAATCTAATATGCTGAGCGCCTAGCTAGAAGGCAGAAGGTCCCATTGTTATAAGTCTTTGGTATGACTCGGCCGGGGATCGAACCCACGACCTCCCGTTCATGAGGCGGACGCTCTAACCATTGAGCCACCATACCCGGTGGCTCATATTGTAAATAGACTGGATCAACCCTCTCATAGTGTTTTACTCATGATGCCTCGTTGCCTTGACGACAATAAACAAAATGTCAACTTGGTGATGAAGTTCATATTTGCCAATTTTGTCTCGTCAAACTTTGTTTCTGATGAATAAAAAAAATTAAAAATATGTTTGTATTTGTATCGGCAAGTCTACAGGAGATAGAGGCATTTGCCTCCCTCCCTCCCTCTCTCCCCTTTCTCCCTCTCTCTTTTCTCTCTCTATCTGTTCCTCTCTCTCTCCCTATGCCTCCTTCACCTGTGACTGAAGATCACTCAACAACAAAAACGGCTTTCAAAATATCAATTATTCTTTAGCTAATACGCTTTCAGCAGAATAGTTGATAAGTAGCACCGTGCCATTTTCACGAATTACGAATTTTTTAATATTTTGATTAAACGATTATTATGAAGAAGAATATTTTGTTTGGCGAATATCTGTGGTACTGACGCAAACTGTGGGGCGTGGAATCATCGAAAAGAAAGAAATAGTGATAATGATAATAATAATGATAATAGTAATAATAATACAACTCCGAACCCCAAACTTTCTGAACCATTTACCATCGCTACTATTAGGCCTACTGCTATGATATTCATCAAAACACACATGACATTAAAAGAATAGGAAAGGTCACAAAATATTCTTATTATGTTTCCTTTTCAAACCTTTATCAGAAGTCCATTTTTTTAAATATTATTGTTCTTACGCTCATTGCAATGTTTCCCTTGAAATCCAGCTGAACAGTGGCAAAGATAACTTTCCATAGTCTCCTCGCACCAGCTGTTTATACAGAGCTTCTTGTCGCAATCTATTAAAAATAAAGGAAAGAAACTTCGTTTGTGTGTGTGTGTGAGTGTGTGTGTGTGTTTATGCCTATGTCTGTGAAACAGGTGAGCATGTTTTGGTCTTGCTTTTTGATTTCAAGCTAAATCAAACAAAAAACCTACGACTTTATATGAACTAACGGAAATGGAAATATGAAACTGCCAGCTTTTACCAGCACAAATTTGTAGTTTTTCTCTTTAGCTTTTCATTCTGTGAATAATTGTACATGTACTTATTCTTTGATAACAAAAAGAGGGAAATTAACCAGACTAACAAAAAAATCTAACAACTCCTATCAAGGCCTTGGCATCAGGAGGGGCATAATATTTGTTTTCCCGCAACCCAGTACAGCAAATTAGGAAATCACTTCTTGAGGGCTATCGGATTATTAAAGGGGAGACTATTTATATAAGGAAGGGTCTTTTGAGACCTTCGGGCGTTTCACAAAATATCGACTTAAGTTGGACTTGAAATATGGAGAATTTGTTGTAGTTAATTGTTAAAGCAATACAATTATCGATAAATCATAACTTATTGGGTATTTTTCCTCAAATTGTGCATCTGGTGCAAGATCTTTAAGGGGCATATACTTCCTATCATCATCAAATAGTATCAGTCCAAATCTTATGTAGAACTTGAAATTACATTAATTTTTTTCAATGAACTGTAAAATAAATGTCAATTCTGTAGATTTGTGACGACGATTTGCACATCCCTTGAGAGACCTATGGTGAGAGCAACCAGTGCATGAACGGCCTGTCATTGTACGATTCCATCTTAAGTTGATTTTTAGTCTTTGTGAAACAGCCCCCCTCCAAGATCTGTCTTCATTTAATGCCTTTCCATGTGCAATCTTATGAGCTAACAGAATTATTCCACACCCGGTTAGCTGCTAGTATACACAGCATGCAGAATTGTTTTCTCATGGTCGAAAAATTGTAAGGAGGGACGAAATAATATTACTCCCTTTGCTCCTCCTTCACAAATGCCGGTACATACTTTTTGTATTGGTAAGAGGTACAGCAAAGAGAAAAGCTATAGTAATATTTTTTTCCGATTGCAGTTTGTGGCCATGCCTTGAACCATAATGCATGGCCGTAAAGAGGATTTTTTGCTGTTGGGAACGATTTATTGCATTTTCTATGTTGTTTTTTATTTGTGGGAGATGCCGTACGGTCACGATTCAGTGGCAAAGCAATGGCCTCGTAACTGTGAGGCCCCAGAATCAAAACCGTGTCGATGTGCTATATAAATGCCCTTTTGTGAGGCATTAATCCTCATTTCTGTCAGTTATGACTTAAGGACGCAGGTCCCCTTGTTGATAAGCATAGTAGCATACACATGCTTTAGCAGTCAAGCAAGACAAACACTAGCAAATCTTTATCCAATACAATCTGAGAGTGTACACTATTATTTAGAGGTATTAGAAATAAATCATTGTATAAATCGTTCCATAACTTTGGGTAAAAGAAAATATTCCACCTTTATGACAAACAGTGTACAAGAGTCATCCAATCTATTTTTAGTAGGTACAGTGTACTTTGTATCATAAATGCATTTTGGCCACGTGTGATGAGAGGAAAACACACATCTGACAGAACCGTAAACGTGAGGTTAGCAAGGTAACGGGGGTAATTCATTGTTAATATGTTGTTTGATGGTGATGGTAATGAAGTTTTGACTCAAGCCTATATGAAACTCGAGGCCCTTTATTTGCTCTGTACTATACGAAAAAAGTCAGATATTTTTTATTTTCCCTCAAAGAAATTTTCAATCACACAGACACCCTAAAAAACAACTATTGCACAGATGTTTCTATTCAACCGCTGTATGGCAAAAAACTACCCCGTCATCAACAACAAAAAAAGGTTTTTGAAATGTTATGTGCAGAGCATATTGGTGACCGTGTTTCCTATTTGTAATTGATTTATCACAACCTCAAAAACCCATAACTTTCTTATGTTTAATCGGACTTTGCTCTAAATATCACTGACCGGTTCATTTCAATGCTGTGCTTTCATTAAAGCCCGTCTGCACTAGTTTGGCCAGGGGATTAGACCTCCCTGCAAGGTCACTGACAGTGGTTATCTCATCAAATAAGCTCTCAATTAACATAAGAAAAAGGGGATCATGGGGCACCAACCGGCACCGAGTACGCATTGTTTGCTATATAGAGGGTGCAAGTAGCTATAAGTAGTACAGTCGGGCTTTAAACAAACTTAATACCAGTATTTAGTAGTTGGAGAAAGGTGTATTGTATTGGCGCGGGAGCTTAGAGGAAGACCAGCCCCCCCCCCCGTCATTGTACATGCCGTTTTTCCCAGGCTTCATTAAACCAAGGAGTTTTAAGAGCTTGAGTCCAAACTGGCAACAAATTATTTTAAGCAGCTGCTGTTTTCTAAGGTTGCCCAATCGAATCTACAGGTGTTCCAGGGGCGGCCGAGCGACTTCCAAAGTGTGTGTGTGTGGGGGGGGGGGGACACCAACAAAAGGGCAATTTCTGGAGAAAAAAAGGGGCACCTACAAATGGATATCTCAAAGCGAAAATATACCATTTTTTAGACAGTGGTATATACATTGTGATAACATTACAAAAAAATATATCATTCTTGGAATTATGAATATTTAAAATTTATGAACCCTATTTTATTTTCGGAATAATGAATCCTTATATCATTTGCGAAATTATGGACCTTCGGAAGAACAAAACATGAGTGGACAGCCAAAATGTTTGCGGGAGTTGTGAACCCTATTTTATGTTTGGAATAATAAACCACCGGGCCTGGAATTTGACATTTGTATTCCGGAATTATGAACCTTCTTAGAATAAGATAACTTATGAAAACAAGTGCCCTTGTAATTATAGCCTACTTTTGTGTAACGAAAAAAAAGGGAGGGGTCTAAATGATTACCAGGAAATTTGCATATTCTGTATCCGGGAGGAATTCCTAACTTTCCTTTCC